AATAAAAAAATAAAAAAAATAATTTAGCAACAAACAGCAATACTATTGACTATAAAGCGGCAATGCTTTCCCTTGCGTATGCTAATCATGACAAGATAACGGAGTGATGCACAGACTCGAACCAAAACACAACTGACTGATAACATAGGAAGCTGACGAGTGGGCCTGATTAGAGGGTCGTATCTAGACATAAATCACAAGCTGGGTGGGAAGTAGCAAAATTACTAAACTAGTGAACTTGTTACTCCTGGGGGGAGTGGTGTGAGTGGTGATACAGCCGTATGGACTGTGGCAGCTGGCGGGATTCAATGTTGAACAGTTTGCAGATTAGAATTCATTACTGAAAGTTGTTACTTATAACGTGTTCGAGTGTGTATGTGTGTGGTCGCGGATTGAGACAACGCCCCCCTCAGCGGACAGACAAGCGACTGCTCGAGCCGACGTGGTGAGTAGTCTCGGTATGAATGATTACTTATTGCCTTAGAATGGAGCTTGCCAACCCAAGCGATATCATCCACTAGGAGGCGATTAATTGGTAATTTTGGTGGGTGGTGAGGATCATCTGGTTAGTGACATGTATTATTTAATGACTTTCTTAGAAATACATGTTGGTGGGCGTACAAACAAACTTAGGTCTTCTGAAGTGGCATAAAAATGGGCGTTGACTCTACAAAATAGGCTGGCAAGCACTGGTTTATACTTAGATATTGTACAGTCTAGGTTTTCTTGAACAAACGCCTATGAAAGTTACTGAGGATCAGATGAACGAACAGGGTCACCGACGAGTTAGTGTTTAGGAAAACAATACTGATCCTGGTCAAAGATGAGGTAGGAAGAAGGCGGTGGCGATGGACTGGACATACTCTCGGGAAGTCAGGCAGCTGCATTACAAAGAAAGTTTTGGACAGGAAACAACAGGGTAAGAGATCATGGGGAAGACCGCGTGGAACCTGGAGAAGAATCAAAGAAATTGATGTACCGAAAAGTGGGAAGATATGGGATAACACCAAGAGGCTAGCTCAGGATAAAGAAAGGTGGAAAGTGTTAGTTCGTGGCCTATTTTCTGGCGCAGGGTGAGAAAGGCAATGATGTTGATGAATGTACTGTGCCAGTTTCCATAAGAAACTATGAAAAAACAGACGGACGAACCGCTTCACTCACTAGGTAGCTAGCAATGGCGTCGGGTGGGTTTGTAAAGAGGGTGGGGCTTCCTGTGGCCGAACATGTTATCTCTTTTGCCTTCCAACCACAGCAGTATGGGTGTTGTATTCACGAGACAAATACTTTAAGCGAGTGTTCAATAAGTATTCTACGTTGTTATTGTTCAATAAGTATTCATTGTTGTATTGAAAGGATAATATACTTACATTCCAATTTAAAACTAACTCAACCCTCTGATACAGCACAACGGTTATATTGTTCGTTCCAGCACAGGTTGACACAGTAGTTCAGATAACACGGAATGAAGACCTGGTCCTCCTTCTTTCAAATAGACATACACAATTTCTTATTCTTTCCTTGTAAAACCCAGAGAACCGCAGAAAAAATGAGAAAGTGGATGAGGGGGGGGGGGGGGGGGGGGGGGGGGGGGGGTTGGACGTTGGTGCTCAGTTTGGGTATTGAACTAGAGATGCTAGAGTCTGCAAATTCTGTGTCAATGTCAAGCAATGCCTACGTTTACATCACCCACTGCAAGGATGTTTCTGAAGCCCCGAGCCCTAGTAGAACCACCAGTCTGTTTGCCTCAGCCTAGTCCCAAACAAGGTTAGTACTCCAGGTATATTCAGTCTGTGGGAACTTAAGTGCTGGGGCTTCAGGACCACGCCAGTAAAATTTCATTGTTCTTGACAGAAGGAGCACATGACTGGATAGAGCTATAGCCATTGTAAATAGTAGTATACACCAAGAACAATCAGATCAGTTTTCACGTTATGCCTCTATAGTTTCGTTTGGGTCTTCGTGGTATGACGTTTTTTAAAAAAAGAATATGTTTTGTTTATTTTATTACCTTTGTTACCAGTAAATGTTCTGTTTTGGTGTTAGTCAGCAAGAGTAACCTTTTAGTGAAGGAGTCTAAGTGGGGCTGAAGCTGCAGGCCCCACCCCACCAGACGCCGTTGGTAGCTAGCCAACGTCTTAGATACTTACTAACGTAAGGTCAGACATATCTACTGCCTAATTAACTAGTCGTCACGCGACAGTTGGATAAGTAAACGCAGCGACATCTGAAGGAACTATAAAGTAAATGTATTGCCAAATGAAAAGAACATGACCGAACAAAAAGAAAGTGAGACGAGATGCTAGAGCAGGTAACAGGTACTGTTCTTTTATTAACTACATTGTACTTGCGTTCGAAGAGAACTCATGACCTGGTAAATGGCAAATTGTACGGTCACATTCTAAAGATATTGTACAGAGGGGTGGGGAAGAGTAGCCAGCTATGAGGTGTCCGGAGGGAAAGGGGGGGGGGCGTGTCTG